GAAGAAAATTAATTCCGACCAGTACGATACCCGTGTCCAAATTTAATACGTCCGCGGAGGGTTAATACTTCTTCACCATTACTTGTCAAGCAGTCCCGTTATTCTTTATACCATTCTTGTAACTTTTATACCTTGGTGTAATTTGTGGAGGTAAAATTTTTCCTTGATAAATTAATGGACTATTAACGTAGGAATCTTTATATGATTCAATCTTATACATACACATAAGTGCTTTGGTTATCTCAGATTAGTTGTGGAACATAATCACAATTTTGTGATATAATAAACTTATCACTCTATTATTTGGAGCCTTATTTACCCACTCTAATAAGTAAAACTTATCGTTATGGCAAGTTTTCTAGCAATATTTATCAACCAATTGTTGCCAAAGTAGAATTACCCAAACGGTAATAATAATATGCTGTGCTTTGTAGTCATCAACTACTGTATGTATTAACTGAATAGCATAAAGAAGGATTATTTGACGTTTTAGATGGTTTCAACATTTTTATATTTTCGCTGCACCAGGTTCAAGCTTTGTGTTATATTTAGTTATTCATGAATACTTGTGGAAGGGTAATGTACATGAATGTTTTATATGGATATTAGATATGTGTTTGGGATCATCTAGACAACCATTAGGTAAATGCTTATATGTTGCCAGTGTTTCTCTTAACAATCATTATTTGTTACTAATAATTAACATTTCATAATCATATTTTTAGTATCATCAGAAAGTACATTTGTAGCTTCTGTACTTATGACTTTGCAATGCTGGAAAAGATTCTATGAAACACAATACATAAACATTTTTAGTGACAGGAAAATGAATATTTCTCATTATCTGGTGGGATATGTTCACTATGTGGGAGCATTGATGTGTATTGTGGGTGAATCTGAGGGTTTTGTTAGAGGTATTCGACTGAAAGTGTTTTTTTGATTAATTATAATCGAATTCTTCGAGACCTATACATTTAACTTGCAGGTTCAGAAGGAAATTTTTCTTGGAAAAGAATTACGTACTTTCATTTCATATGTGCATTCATATTTATATCATCCTCCTATGCACAGCTACGAGCAAATATTATTCTTCGTAATTTGCGAAAAAATAAGGATGGAGAAATAGATCATAAGATATATAAGATACCACATGGTGGTCTTTTTGAATATGTATCAGGTGCATTGCAGATTACAGAGATAATGATGTATATGACACTTTCTATGATTTTATGGCAAAGTTCTTCCTATCACTACGTTACACTTTGGGTTCTAGCTAACCAGGTACACGTGTCACCAATTTATAAATAAGAACTGTAAATTATATCAATAATTTATACTTGTATACATTGTATTTTATTTCAGATATCTACGGCTGTATTGACTCACCAGTGGTACATAGAAACATTCAAGAATTATCCAAAATCGCGAAAAATTCTTATTCCATTTATCTTTTAAGTGTATACCATTTTATTCTTTTATTTTTATAATCAAATGTTTTTATATGATATTCTAATAAGAATAAATATTATTATTAATATTTCATACACAATGATCTGTTTAATTTAGTCCCGACTTTTAAAACGAAATAATTCGCAATTAGATATTTAGACTATACATTTCATACTATGTGTGTAAGAGCCCCGTGCTTGCCCTAGGCAAGCGCGCGCATTATTGGGTAGAATTACATTAAACAAACATTCCATGTATCGTCCCCTTCACTCTTTAACAATATTTTTTCACACGTAAATAGCACAGCTATTCGTTTTAACGTTTAGTTTTTCACTATTTTTATTGTTCCCGAGCGACGCGATAAACAAATAAAATATTAAATTGATTGAGCTGTGGTAAAACTTTTCATTAATTCGTTTTTCCTGGCTTTGTCACTAAGCGAAATTCGTGCTTTCGTAATACATTTATCGCTTTCAACAGCTAATTTTCGTATATAATTGTATACAACAATAATTAACATTCTATATAGTCATTCTCTATTTAAGGAACTCAGTATTTTGAGCGTTACGTATTTATTGGAATACATGTAGTTGAATATAATTATTTACTTATTTAAATTCTGCCTTGTTAGTACTTATGTAACAGCATATTAGAAAACATGAATAAATTAAGATGCAAGTAATAAATTATAATTACATTCAAGTGATAAATTCTACATACCCGTTGCGATCAGTTTTGGCGCGATGACCTGCAATAACTGGTATATGTTCAGAGAGCATGTCATGCCNAATGTATTTTTCTAACAACAATGCACAACAGGGTAGAATTAAGTGTGTTTAAATATTCTTGTAAAAATTTTATTCTTTATGTAGATCCTCATAATGCTATTAGTTCAATTTATTTTTTTATATAGCTCATGTACGTGCTTGTACTTTGTACTTCAAGAATTTATTTAATAATAGGAATTCATACATATATATACGAATATTGATTAAATTAATTTTTCTAGGTGGTGAAGTACCTGCAACTAAATTAGCTGCTTTGCAGAAAGTTTTGCAGAGTGATTTCCTTAGTGCTGTACGAGAAGTGTATGAACATGTATATGAGACTGTAGACATTCAAGTACGAGATATTTACATACCCATATATTGTAAATTATGAAATCTATGTCAGTATTAATAATTGCAGGGATCTCAGGATGTTCGTGCATCGGCTACTGCAAAAGCAACAGTCGCAGCTTTTGCAGCTAGTGAGGGCCACGCACATCCGCGAGTGGTGGAACTACCGAAAACTGAGGAAGGTCTTGGTTTTAACGTAATGGGAGGCAAGGAACAAAATTCACCGATTTATATTTCACGAATTATTCCTGGAGGGGTTGCCGATCGTCACGGTGGCTTGAAACGGGGTGATCAGTTATTATCTGTTAACGGAGTGGTAAGATTCTATTTTCTTAAGCACAAAATCTTTTCCAGCTCTCGTCTCGACTTCTCAATGATTATTTATTGGTGTTTCAGTGCGTGGAAGGCGAGAATCATGAGAAAGCAGTAGAATTGCTGAAGCAAGCACAGAATTCTGTGAAGCTGGTCGTACGTTACACTCCGCGAGTTTTAGAAGAAATGGAATTACGCTTTGACAAGCAAAGGGCAGCACGTAGGCGTCAACATATGCAATAAAATCGAACGTTGTTACATTTAATCGTCCCCTTCCAATGAACAAATCATATGCATATTGATATCATCGTAGTCCTTTTCATTGTCTGTATATTATAAGAATTCAAATCAAATTACGATTATGGAAATTACTCCTGCTTTTATCTTTTAAACATATTGTATGAATGTTATATAGTTTTAAGAAATAAAATTGTTCTCTTTCTTCTCCTACTTTGCGTACGTTCATTTAGAGCCTTGAACATGGAAAATACAAAAAGAAAGTTTAAGTAATAACAAAATAAATGAGTAGTCAATTTTTAAAATATTTTTCGAGTGCAATCGAATCGAGTGAAGATAGTACAAGCTACGCACCTGGCTGCGATACATACTATCACAATATCAAATCACTCGCGCATAAAAAGTAGCAGGAAAAATATATGCATCTGTATGCGCACGTACACAGTTGCACACTGACTTATACCACTGGTTTATCAAGTCAACCAGTGCCATCATGAAGGTGATAGGTAATTAAAAACTGTTGGACTTTAAACTTAATTTAATTTTGTTGACTCAGTACGAGAAAGGCATTTATATAAAGGTCCGAGTTCATCGGAGAATCTCAGTTAGTGGTCCCCTTTGAACGGAATTTTAGTTTCGACACAATGAGAGCACCGGAACAATTACGTTTCGACGGTCGCGTAGTTATCGTAACGGGAGCTGGAGCAGGTAATTACTTATTTTCTCTGATCAGTATTTCGATATGAAATTGAATGATTGATCTTAGGTTTGGGCCGTGCATACGCCCTGCTATTTGCTTCGAGAGGTGCCAGCGTTGTAGTAAACGATTTAGGTGCAAGTAGACACGGTGATGGGAGCAGCAAAGTGGCAGATACAGTTGTTAATGAAATTATTAAGAATGGTAAGAATATTTCTTATTTACTGTGTTATGCATTCTATTTGAATCGACATGAGTTTGTTTTATGAAATATTTATTACTACACATAATCGCGTCCAGTTGCATATCACGATTCTTATCAACGGTATTTGCAAAAC